GTGGTGGTCCCCGCCAGCAGCAGCAGCGCAGTCGTGAGACCCTGTCCCCTCAGCAGCTTCGTGAGTGGTACGCTGCGCGTCAGCGCGGGTGGGGGTACTGGTCCCTGCACCTACGTCCTCCGTACCGGGCGACCGCCCTGCCTTGTGAGCAGGCGGGGGCCCGCACTCCACCCAGCGCTGCTTCGGCCGACTGACGGACGCGTGGCGTCACCAGTCCCTGAGGCCTCTGAGATCCTCGCTGGGGAGAGCTGTCTAGTGGGCGGGGGTTGCTATCTATTTGATCTTGATTATGATGCTATTCTTGATGCCATGTATGCTGTGTCTGATAGTGTTGAGGGTGACTGTTACCTGTGTGTTCCGCCTGACCCGGGCATTGAGGCTGCTGCTCTAGGTACTGGTGAGGCTGCTGCTCTAGGTGCTAGTGCGTCTGCTGTCCCAGGTGCTGGTGAGTCTGCTCTCTCAGGTACTACGTCGGCTCAGGCTTACACACCTTCACCCTTGACTCGGGTGCTTCCCGCTCCTTCTTTCGAGACCGCACCACGCTTACGCCGCTTAGTCGGCCGGTTGCGGTCTCCCTGGCGGACCCCTCTGGGGGTCCTGTCCTTGCTAGCTTCTCCACTGTCTTACCGTGCCCGGCAGCTCCCTCTGGCACACTGTCAGGTCTCTACCTCCCCTTGTTCTCTACGAACTTGGTGAGTGGAGCTGATCTACAGGATAGGGGGGTTGACCAGTTCACTCCTGCGAGTCAGCGGGTGACCCACTGCACGTGTGCTCGGACAGGCCGACACTTGGCTACGTTCACCCGTCGGCCGGGGTCGAGCCTCTACACACTTACTACTGAGTCTCCTCCGGCTGCTGAGTCTGGTCAGGTAGCTGTGTCGAGTCAGGTGTTTGCTTCAGCGTCCAGGTCTGGTCCTGAGTCTGCTCCCTGCTCGTGTCGTCTCCTGTCCCACCAGACTCTCCTTTGGCACCACCGCCTTGGTCACCCCTCCCTGCCTCGTCTCCGAGGCATGGCCTCCCGTGTCCTTGTCTCTGGTCTCCCCCGTCTCTCCCTCCCCTACCTCCGGGGCCTGCCCCTACCTGCGTCCCCTGCGTTGAGGGGCGACAGCGCGCCGCCCCTCACTCCTCCGAGTTTCCTCCGACAGAGCCCCGCTGCAGACTCTTCACATGGATGTATGGGGCCCCGCCCGCGTCCGTGGCCAGGGGCACGAGCGTTACTTCCTGTTGGTGGTTGACGACTACTCGCGTTACACCACAGTCTTCCCCTTGCGCAGCAAGGGTGACGTCACTGAGGTGTTGATCGACTGGATCCGCGCAGCTCGTCTCCAGCTCAGGGAGAGTTTCGGCTCGGACTTCCTGTTCTGCGTCTGCACTCTGACAGAGGCGGGGAGTTTTCCTCTGCCCGTCTGGGAGCCTTCTGTCGAGCAGGGCATCCGCCAGACCTTCACGCTTCCGGCCTCTCCACAGCAAAATGGGATTGCTGAGCGCCGCATTGGCATGGTCATGGACGTCGCTCGTATGTCCATGATCCATGCGGCTGCCCCCCATTTTCTGTGGCCGTTTGCGGTTCAGTACGCAGCGCATCAGCTCAACCTTCAGCCCCGGGTCTCCTTGCCAGAGACCTCCCCCACCTTGCGGTGGACGGGGAAGGTTGGCGATGCGTCTGCGTTTCGGGTCTGGGGATCTCGGGCGTTTGTTCGCGACTTGTCTGCGGACAAGCTGTCCCCCCGTGCTGTTCCCTGCGTCTTCCTTGGCTTCCCCCCTGATGCGCCTGGTTGGCAGTTTTACCACCCGACCTCGCGCCGTGTTCTGTCCTCCCAGGACGTCACCTTTGACGAGTCGGTGCCTTACTACCGTCTCTTCCCCTACCGCACTGCGCCCCTCCCCCCGCCGCCGCTCTTCCTTACGCCAGGTCCTCCCCGGTAGACCCCCTCCCCCCTCAGGGTCCTGCCCCGTCAGGTGTGTCCCAGGTAGACGCAGTCGAGCCTGTCGAGGTAGCTGTGACTCTGGTACTACTAGAGGTGCTGAGCCTGCGGGGTGCCGAGTCTGGAGGTGCTGAGCCTGGGGTGCGGAGCCTAGGGTGCTGAGTCCAGGGGAGCGGAGCGTGGGGGTGCTGGGCCTGGGGGTGCTGAGTCTGGGGGTGCTGAGCCTAGGGATGCTGAGCCTGGGGGTGCGGAGCCTAAGGGTGCTTGGTCTGCTCGTGTGGCCTCTCGCGGTGCTTCGTCGAGGCGGGAGCCACTCTCTGTTGGTGCAACCCTACGGTTTGCACTCGGCTTGTTGTCCGTGTGCGTGCGTGAATGTGTGTGTGTATGGAATGGTATGAGAGCATGGGATAATATATATTTCATGCTTATAATTGTGTGTGAATGTTGAGTCATGATGTCGAGTGTGTGTGTCGAGTCAATAGCGAGTTATCGCTAGACGCGTGTTACGCGGTCGTTTGTGTCTCGCGCGCGGTTTCTATTTTGTCGTGCGCGCGTTTTTCTTTTTCTGTCGGTTTCTTTTGTGTGTCGAACGTTCGGCGTGTCGCAGGTGTGTGCAGCAGACCCATCAAGAACTCAAGGATGAGTTTGTGATGAAGAGCCCGAGCCTTGGTGTCAAGCCTCAAGTGATTTCGAAGCTTGCCAAAAGGGTACACCTCAAGATATTGAAGATAGTTACATTACTTTGTGTAGTGTAACATTTCACTTGGTGTAGGCCCTAGTGAAGGGTAGTTTCGAGACCCTTCGTGGTTGGGGACAGTGTGGCACTGTTCCACATCACTGTACCTCGGCTCTTGGGGTTTGTAGGAGCTGGGAGTCATTCCCAACTCGTAACTCTTCCTATCTTGTGTTCTAAGACTATAGTGGCTGCCATAGTACCGTTCGTTCAAACCGACGCTGTGTCGTCAATTCTTTATCAAATCGTGCAATCTAAATTGCTAATTGTAGACGACGTGGAAGACGCTCCAGATCCAATTTGAATCAAGTCATTTGCAGCTGTGAGCAGAACGCTATCAACGTTTGAAGCCGCTGTGCAGAAATCCGTCTGTGCTCTCTATCTTTCGTTTTAGGCACATTCAAGCCTATTGTGACTATAACAAGTGGTATCAGAGCCCCTTGGAGCAGTTTCGGACAATGTCTGGACCTGAGGAAAGGGTGTGCAGAGGTGCTGGTGGCAGTGGAGAAGCTCAAGCTCAAGGCCAACCCCGTGATTCAGCCATGGCGCCCATGCAACCAAGTCTTGGCCCACCTAGGGATGAGCCTAGGGTGTTTGGGCTTGACAAGTTCAACGGTGACAACTTTGCTGAATGGTCCTTCAAAATGGAGAACATCTTGACCACTATGACCTGCTGGAGGTGATGGAAGGAACGGAGAAGCGCCCCGAGAACGACCCGGAGAAGAGCCCGTGGGTGCGGAAGAGCGCACAAGGCTATCTCTTACTTGGGCAAGCGTTGGGGAGCAGTCAGATCCGTCATATCAAGCCATTCCAGCGTGAACCAGAGAAAGGACCAAAGGCATGGGCTGCTCTCAAGGGTGTACATGCTCCTGCAACAGCGGCGGTAGCGGTGGTGTTGGAACGGCAAATGGCGGCACTACGAATTGAAGAAGACGAAGCGGTTGAAGAAGGGGTGCAGAAATTCTTCGACTTGTTGACGCGGCTTGAGGGAGCTGATTTGAACTACAGTGAGCTCCAAAAGAAGACCAAGTTGCTGGCCTTACTCCCAGAGTCATGGTCCTCGCTCATCATCAACCTTAATCGCGACTTGCCCCGCCTCTCGCTTGAAGACGTGAAGCGAGCTATCCTTCAAGAGGATTTCCGCCGCCGTGAGTTGGCGAGTGCGGATGGCGCTGGGGCAGCGAGCATCGGCCGTGGATATGGTCGAGGAAGAGGCAGAGGACGAGGGGGAGGAAGGTTTGGTGGCAGCAACTTCGGCGGAGGCCGCAGGAGTGGCGGTTACGGCAGCGACGACAAGAGCTACGGACGCGGTCGCGGCCGATTCGACGGCGAGTGTCACTATTGCCACAAGAGCGGACACATGTGGCGCGACTGCTACAAACTCCCTGATGGTTGGACCCCTGCTCAAGGCCAAGAGGGTAGAGGAGCAGGAGGAGGGAGAGGACGAGGCCGTGGAGGCCGTGGCGGTCGCGGTGGCGGAGCTGCAAACATGAAGAGCGGAGACAACGACAAGGACCCGAGCGACGATCGATACCCGGGTCTATTCTACTTCGTGTCGACGCAAGTACCGGCTGGTCCAGAGAAGGATGAAGGCTTTGAGGAGCCAGCAGCTGTGGGGAAGGTGACCCTACACCCCCTGGACTATTGGGTGATTGATAGTGGCGCTACCTATAGCATGACACCTCGCCCGGACTTGCTCACCGAACTCGAGCCGTCACCGGTGAAGCATGTCACATCGGCTTTGGGGCAGCGAGCAGAGGTGAAAGGCATGGGCAAGGCCATGTTCAAGGGTGCTGATGGGAAGATGGTGGGCCTCAAGAACGTGCTTTGGGTGCCCAGCCTTGCTGCAAACCTGATTTCCGTGCGGCGGTTGGCAAAGGCCGGCATGGACACGAACTCGAAGGGAGCCAAGACCTACACCGCAAGGCTTGGCGATCGAATTCTTTGGGACCTTCATGAGGACAGGGATGTCTACAACGAGATGTGGCAGATCCCAGTGGTCCCTATGCCTAAGGAGAGGCAAGTGGCAGCAAGCATCAGCACCAAGGATGGAGCGGTCGGTAGCGACGATGGCGCGAACGGTCGCGCTAAGGAGAATGAGCTCAAGAAGAGCAAACCTGGAGGGACCAGCAAGTTCAGTGAACCTAAGGAGAGTGGTGCAGCAACCAAGGAGCAGCAAAAGGGTGAGGAGAACCCAGAGGCAGCAGCGGAGGAGGACTACGGAGAGAGTATGTGGGGCGCTATTGCGAGCGCGGCATTCTCCAATCCAACTTCGGCTACGGGGGAGTGTGATTGGCTCACCTTGCATCGGCACATGGGGCATGTGGCCCTGCCATCTTGCAACAGCTAGTGAAGAATGAGATGGTTGCTGGCATACGTGTGAAGGGGGAGCCCGATGACGTGCTTGGCTGCCCGACGTGCATTCAAGCCAAGTTCACCCGGTTTCCGTTCCCTAGTTCGGAGGCAACGTCAAAGGCACCGCTTGATGAGGTGGTGATGGACGTGGTGGGCCCCCTGAATCTTGGAGCTGCTGGAGCTGAGTATTTTCTCACCATTGTCGACGTCTACACCCGCATGACTTGGGTGTACGTGCTGGCCAAGAAGAGCGACGTGGCTGAAACGTTGAAGACGGATTGGTTCCCGATGGTGGAGCGGCAACAAGACCGTCTAGTCAAGTCAATCCGCACCGATCGAGGGGGAGAGTTCCTGAGCAAGGAGTTTGGGTTGTGGCTGAAGAAGAATGGTATTCGGCACTCCCTCACCATGCCATAATCCCCTGCAATGAACGGCATCGCCGAGCGAGCGAACCGCACAATCACGGAGGCGGCACGCGGGTTGCTCATTGAAGCCGGGCTACCCGACTATTTCTGGCCTGATGCGGTGCGGAGCGCGTGTGTGGCCAAGAACAGAGCCTTGACTCATGTGGGAGCAGACAAATGGGTGCCCTATGTGGAGTGGCTAGGAAGGAAGCCAAAGGTGGATATGCTTCGGGTGTTCGGGTGCATGTGCATGGCGCTCATGCCTAAGCATCTTCGGCACAACAAGCTTGGTGCCAAGGCGGTGTGGGCCGTGCACTTGGGCATGGCTCAAAACAGCAAGGGATGGCTTCTTTGGGACCCATTCACCAAGAAGTTCTTGGTGAGCAGGGACTGCAAGTTCATGGAGAACTTCATGTACAAGGATTGGAAGGCGGAGAATGAGGCGAAGATAGGCGTGCGGTTTGGGGAGGTGAAGAGTTCCGGTTTGGAGCATGTGGAGCTGCCTTTGGAGCTGAGCAGCGGCAGCACAACCACAAGGCAATCCTCCCTTGTGAATGGGGGAGAGGAGGCCAATGATGCAGAGGAAGAAGAGGAGGAGGTGCAGCAAGTGAGCGAGCGTGCACCGTCACTCCATTCCCGTACTACGAGTGCTCCACGGATTCGAGCCACACCGCAGCAACGCCAAGGCCTTCAAGTCCCTGCAGCTGAGGAGGAAGGAAGGGGGAAGAGGAGAGTTCAACCCCCTAATAGGCTGACCTATGATGCGCCGGGAAAGCAGGGCAAGACAGCCCTGGCCGGAGCGGCAATGATGGTCGGAGACGACGAGGAGAGTGACTACGAGGAGTGTGCCTTCGCGTTCTTCTCTCCGGTGGAGATGCCGGGAGAACCAGCAACTCTCAAGGAGGCTTTGGAGAGTAGTGATGCTGAGGAGTGGAAGAAGGCCATGGAGAGTGAGCTGAAGAGCATCGAGGAGAATGACACGTTTGAATTGGTGGAGCTACCGGAGGGGCGTACGGCGATAACGTCCAAGTGGCTCTTCAAAATCAAGTCGGATGCCGACGGCAAGATCGAGCGCTACAAGTCTAGGCTTGTAGCCAAGGGGTACCAGCAGAAGGAGAAGGTGGACTTCAAGGAGCTGTTTGCCCCTGTGGTGAAGCCGACGACGCTGAACCCTATTCGCGGGAGCCGCCATCAAAGGATGGGTAGTAAAGCAAATGGACATCGTAACGGCATTCCTTAACGGCATCCTTGAGGAGGAGATTTTTTATGGCGCAGCCAGAGGGGTTTGATGATGGTAGTGGCAGAGTGTGGAAGCTGAAGAAGGCCCTCTATGGGCTGAAGCAGGCCCCTAGGCAATGGTACATGAAGCTGCGCAAAGTGTTGGAGGGGATCGGCTTCACTCCCTCAACGGCCGATCACTCCTTGTTCATGCTTGGCGAGGGGGAGCAGAGGAGTTTCATGGTGGTTTATGTGGATGACATCCTCATTATCTCACCCTCTTCTGACCTTGTGAAGGAGGTGATGCTGAAGCTTCAAGACAAGTTCAAGTGCAAGGCCCTTGGTGACGTGAGCTTCTACCTTGGGCTCCACATCGAACGAGATGTGGAGAAGCGGTGCATGCGGGTGCATCAACGAAAGTACCTGGAGGCATTGGCTGCCAACTTTGGGCAGAGTGAAAGCCATGTGGCTACACCCTTCCCTCTGGGTTCAAGTGTGTGAAGGGACCAGAGGAGGAGAGCGTTGGTGAAGAGGAGAGGCGCCGATTTCACTCGTTGGTGGGCAGCCTCATGTATGCGGCGGTAAACACCCGACCGTACGTCGCGTTTGCTACCGGGCAGCTGGCTAGGGTTGTGCAATGCCCTAATGAGGAGCAGGTAGCAGCTGGAATGAGGGTGGCCAAGTATCTTGGCCAAACACCGACCGTTGGGCTGCAATACTCGGCGGCGGCACAAAGGCGCCAAAAGGGCGCGGATGGTGTTGAACCCGGGCGTTTGTTCCTCACCGCCTACTCGGATGCTTCATATGCATCAGAACCAGAGGACATGACAAGTGTGGGAGGCTTCATATGCTGTGTTGGTGGAGGCCCAACTGCTTGGGAGAGCAAGAAGCAGGTTGACCAAGCTTTGAGCTCGGTGGAGTCCGAGTACATGGCACTCTTCCGTGCCGTACGGGAGATTGTGTGGCAGCGGCGTTTGTTGGCTGAATTGGGGGAGGAGCAGCAAGGACCTACCCCACTGTACTGTGACAGCCAGGGTGCCATTGCTCTTGCTAAGAACCCTGTGTTGCATGGACTCACGAAGCACATGAGGGTGAAGTGGCATTGGACGAGGAGCATGGTAACCGCGGGTGAAGTTGAGTTGCGCTACGTGAAGACCACGGGGCAGCCGGCTAACATGATGACCAAGAGGCTGGTGGAGCAGCAGCATTGGAAGTGTTGCAAGCTGGCTGGGATGGCTCTGAACTGAGAGAGCAACATATCCTAAGGCCAACAATCCGAGGGGGAGTTTGTTGGTGCAACCCTACGGTTTGCACTCGGCTTGTTGTCCGTGTGCGTGAATGTGTGTGTGTATGGAATGGTATGAGGGCATGGGATAATATATATTTCATGCTTATAATTGTGTGTGAATGTTGAGTCATGATGTCGAGTGTGTGTGTCGAGTCAATAGCGAGTTATCGCTAGACGCGTGTTACGCGGTCGTTTGTGTCTCGCGCGCGGTTTCTATTTTGTCGTGCGCGGTTTCTATTTTGTCCTGTGTCGAACGTTCGGCGTGTCGCAGGTGTGTGCAGCAGACCCATCAAGAACTCAAGGATGAGTTTGGGATGAAGAGCCCGAGCCTTGGTGTCAAGCCTCAAGTGATTTCGAAGCTTGCCAAAAGGGTACACCTCAAGATATTGAAGATAGTTACATTACTTTGTGTAGTGTAACATTTCACTTGGTGTAGGACCTAGTGAAGGGTAGTTTCGAGACCCTTCGTGGTTGGGGACAGTGTGGCACTGTTCCACATCACTGTACCTCGGCTCTTGGGGTTTGTAGGAGCTGGGAGTCATTCCCAACTCGTAACTCTTCCTATCTTGTGTTCTAAGACTATAGTGGCTGCCATAGTACCGTTCGTTCAAACCGACGCTGTGTCGTCAATTCTTTATCAAATCGTGCAATCTAAATTGCTAATTGTAGACGACGTGAAGAAGCTCCAGATCCAATTTGAATCGAGTCATTTGCAGCTGTGAGCAGAACGCTATCAACGTTTGAATCCGCTGTGCAGAAATCCGTCTGTGCTCTCTATCTTTCGTTTTAGGCACATTCAAGCCTATTGTGACTATAACACTCTCTCCGCAGGAGCTGCGCGAGTGGTTTGCCCGGCGCTGGAGCCGTGCTGCTGGAGCTGGAGGTACTACTGTTACTACTGGTCCCGGAGGTGCTCGTACTGGCGGCACTGGAGCTGCTGGGGCTGGGGGTGCTGCTGGGGCTGCTGGAGTTAGTTCTGCTGGAGGTACTGCTGGAGCTGCTGGCGGTACTGGAGCTGCCCGTCCTGCTGGAGTTGGTGCTGCTGGAGCTGCTGGAGCTGCTGGAGCTGGAGCTGCTGGGGGTGTTGGCGCTGGTGGTTCTACTGGCGCTAGTGCGTCTGAGGGTGCTGGAGTTGGCGCTGTTGGAGCTGGAGGTGCTGCTGGCGCTGGTGCTGCCGCTGGGGGTACTGGTGCTGTCCCTGCTGGTTCTGGAGGCGCTGCGCGGCCGAGGCCGTACATCGTTCCGCTCCTTGAGCAGGTTCTTGGTCTCCCGCCCTCTACTGGTCCTGCTCCTTCCTTAGAGTGTCCACAGCCTGTCCAGTCGCGGTCACAGTTACAGCCCGCCTCCCCCCTACCTGCTCCTTCTCCCTACACTGGTCCTACTGGAGGTCTTGCTGAGCGTCGTAAGCCTGTGTCTCGTCCTGCGTCGCCTGTTCGTGCTGCTCGCACTAGTGGTCGTGCTCCGCGTCCGCGTCCTCCTGCGGTCCCAGGCACACACCAGATGGCACTGCGTCCTTCCACTGCTCCTCTACGTGTCCTGTTGCCGTCTCCTCCAGAGTCCTCTCTTCCTGTTCTTGCTGACCCGGAGTCTGACTCTCTTCGTGCTGCCAGTCCTACTGTCATGCATCTCCTGGCTACTGTTGTCACTGACCCTTCCTTTGAGTCCACTGCTGCGTCGGCCCTGGTTGCTGAGCTTGTCGACTTTGCTGCTCGCTGTCGTCTAGACTACGCTGCTAGTCTTGTTGCTGAGTCTGAGCCTGTCTGTCCTCCGTCCGTCGGGGGTGAGTGTGCTCTTAGCACGGACGTCCTTGAGGACAGGCAGGAGGAGTTCCAGTGTTTTGCTGCTGCTTTGCCTCATCTCGTGTCCACGCTGATTGCCCCTGAGGGAGACCCGGATGCACCAGACATCCCGACTCCTCGATCGTACGCTGAGGCAATCGAGGGTCCCTACTCCTCTCAGTGGCAGTCAGCCATGGACGCAGAGATGGCTTCCTGGAAGTCCACAGGCACCTACGTCGACGAGGTTCCCCCACCTGGGGCGAACATCGTCAGTGGCATGTGGATTTTCAGGGTGAAGCGGGCCGCCGGGTTCTCCGCCTGTCTTCAAGGCGCGTTACGTGGCTCGAGGCTTCAGTCAGCGGCAGGGAGTTGACTAATTTCAGACCTTCTCTCCCACCCCGAAGATGACCACTCTTCGGGTGCTGCTGCACATAGCCGCTCAGCGCGACTACGAGCTTCACTCTCTTGACTTCAGCACAGCTTTCCTGCAGGGCAGCCTGCACGAGGAGATCTGGCTGCGCCGCCCACCTGGCTTCACTGGGTCGTTTCCTCCTGGTACCCAGTGGAGCCTCCGGCGGCCAGTCTACGGTCTCCGCCAGGCGCCCCGTGAGTGGCACGACACACTGAGGACTACACTTGCGGCTCTTGGGTTTGCTCCTTCTACTGCCGACCCGTCGCTGTTTCTGCGCACCGACACCTCTTTGCCGCCGTTCTACATCCTCGTGCACGTCGACGACTTGGTCTTTGCCACTGCTGACACTGCTGGACTCGCCCACGTGAAGTCCGAGCTGCAGAAGAGACACACGTGCACAGACCTGGGTGAACTGCGCAGCTACCTTGGCTTGCAGATCACGCGGGACAGAGCACAGCGCACCATTACCCTGACTCAGTCACACATGGTGCAGCAGGTCCTTCAGCGCTTCGACTTCACGTACTCCTCGCCTCAGGCCACTCCTCTGTCTACTCGCCACTCGCTCTCAGCTCTGCCTTCGGATGAGTCCGTAGAGCCGAGTGGCCCGTACCCAGAGCTTGTTGGCTGCCTCATGTACCTGATGACCTGCACACGACCTGACCTTGCATACCCTCTTAGCATCTTGGCACGCTATGTTGCTCCTGGGAGACACCGACCAGAGCACATGGCTGCAGCGAAGAGGGTGTTGCGCTACTTGTGCAGTACGTCGGGCATGGGGCTAGTGCTTGGAGGGCGACGTCGAGTGGTCCTCACAGGTCACGCAGACGCTTCTTGGGCTGATGACCAGGCTACGCAGCGGTCGTCACAGGGTTACACCTTCAGCCTTGGCTCCGGCTCTGTTTCATGGCGGTCTACCCGCTCGTCTTCTATTCTCGGCTCCAGCTGTGAGGCTGAGATCTACGCGGGGGCCATGGCTGCACAGGAGCTACGCTGGCTCACCTACCTGCTGACTGACCTAGGAGAGCCGCCTCGTTCTCCTCCAGTTCTGTACGTAGACAACAAGGCCATGCTGGCCTTGTGTCGGGAGCACAGACTGGAGCACAGAACGAAGCACATTGCTCTCCGCTACTTCCTTGCTCGTGAGCTGCAGCAGCGTGGTCAGCTGCGCCTTACTTACGTGGCCTCTGAGGCCAACACTGCTGATATCTTTACCAAGGCACTTCCGCCTGGTGATCATCAGCGCTTCTGTACTATGCTAGGTCTTGTGCCTACTTGGCCTCACTTGCTCACTTCTTGACCTTACTTGTACTGTGATCTTTCTATACCTGCACTTGCCTGTTTACCTTTATATATGATCTTGCATGTGAACTGGCCTTGTGGCCTTGCTCTTGTGCTCGGACTGTGTGGTGACGTTGTGATCCACCCTGAGCTTGCTTTGCTTTGCTTGACTGGTCTTGTGACCTCTTGTTCTCCTCCACTTTGCCTATGGAGGTGTGTCAAACTCTTATGCTATAGTCTGTGTAGGCTGTAGTGGGGTAGACTATATGGGGTACAACAATTCTAGGTTTTCCTACTTGTACCCACCTGTTTGCTAGTTCATTCATTCCTCATTTCTTCACAGTCAAACCAGTTCTTAAGACAAGGTAATTGATTGAAATACCTGGAAGTGTGAAAAAATGGTGCTAAAAAAAACAAATTGACGATGAAACGGTGTCATGTTGCGAAATGGCCAATCCTTGCTCAGTTTCATGCCATTGAACGCACAAACAAGCGTCACGTACTGCGTAGTTGTGCGAATGAGGTCAATCCAGTTCGTAAGACAAGGTAATTGATTGAAATACCTGGATGTGTGAAGAATGGTGCTAAAAAAAACAAATAGACGATGAGACGGTCACATGTTGCGTACTGGCCAGTCCTTGCTCAGTTTCATGCCAACGAACAAACAAATAGGCGTCACGTGTTGCGTGGATGTGCGAAGGAGCTCAAACCATTTCCAAAGACAGGATAATTGATTGAACTACCTGAATATGTGAAGAAAACGTGCTAAAAAAAAAACAACTTAACGATGAAACGATGACATGTTCCGTACTGGCCTATCCTCGCACACTGTGAGAGTACGACGGCTTATGCCGGCTATGCTTGCTTGCCTTTACTTTATTATGCTATTTCTAGCATGGGATTATTTTATGCATGCATGAATTGCTTGATTTCCTAGGCTAGGTGCTCTCCTATTTTATAGTAATAGCACCGAGCTAGGTTGCGTGCACCGAATTCTGGGCTTTTCGGTTGCCACCGTATTGCCTTCTACCGAATTCGAGAAGGGTCTGTTCGGGACGCTTCGCGACCCTCAGAACCTTCGCGTAACACCTGGTTACTGGGCCTTGTGTAGAGCCTATATATAGCCTCGTGTTGTACCCAGGTGATTCATTCAATTCAAACTCTCTTTTCTGAGCTCGATCCTAGATCCTCACACACATCATCAAGCCATCGAATGCACAAACAAGCGTCACGTGCTGCATATTTGTGCGAATGACCCCACATCAGTTTTCACGACACGCTAATTGATTAAACTTCATGAATGCGTGAAGAAATAGTGAAAAAAAAAAAAAACAAAACAAAACAACAACCAGAGAATGAAACGGTTACATGTTGCATATAGACAACGACGTTGTAGTCATGGCCTACGAAGTTAATGTTTAGATCAAATACATGTCTAGATGTATTGGATTGCCCTGAATTTTGGCGAGGCCTCTCTATATGGTTCCTAGACCCTCCCACATGAAATTCAGGGCAAGCGGAGCATTGGTGATTATTATCAATGCAAGTATGCAAATGTAGGTGACTGTGATGTAGATCTGGCCGGACATGTGGATGTTCAGACTAAAGACGCGTCCAGAGGTATTGGATTGCCCTGAATTTTAATAGGATCTATTTACATGTTTCTTAGACCCCCCCACATGAATTTCAGGGCAAGCGGAGCACTGGTGATTTATATCGAGGCTACTGTGCAAATGCAAGCGACGACGCTTTAGTTCTGGCCTGACACGTGGATGTTTAGATTATACTCCTGTATAAAGGTATTGGGTTGCCCTGAATTCTGGTGAGGCCTCTCTAAATAGTTCCTAGACCCTCCCACATGAAGTTGAGGGCAGGCACATAACTGATTATTGATAACGAGGCCACTGTGGAAATGCTGGCGACGACGCTGTAGTTCTGGCCGGGCATGTGGTTGTTGTCAAACTCTTATGCTATAGTCTGTGTAGGCTGTAGTGGGGTAGACAATATGGGGTACAACACTTCTAGGTTTTCCTACTTGTACCCACCTGCTTGCTAGTTCATTCATTCCTCATTTCTTCACATGGTATAGAGCAGGTTCCCTAGTGGGAACGCTTCTCAGGGCCCACCACTGAAATCGACTTTTTTTTTTCTGACCGGAGCGCGAGTCGCTGTCAGAAACAAGAAGTGATTGAACTATGAAACATTGGAGTACAAGTATGAAACCCTAGAGTTGTGTACCCCTTACAGGCTAACCCACTATAGCCTACACAGCAATAACACATATATAATGTTTGACACACCCCCATAGGCAAAGTGGGGGAGAGCAAGGGGTCAAAAGACCAGTCAGCAAAGGCACACAAGCTCAGGGTGGATCACAACGTCACCACACACTCTGAGCACAAGCAAAGGGCCACAGGGCCAGTTCACATGTAGAGGCATATATGCAACACAAACAGCAAGGTGATCTCAACCTAGCAAAGCAAACAGGCAGGCATACATATATAGAGATCACAGTACAGGCAAAGCCTACAGCAAGTGAGGAAAAGTGGGCACCAGCCCCAGCATAGTGCAGAAGCGCTGATGATCACCAGGCTGAAGTGCCTTGGTGAATATATCAGCGGTGTTGGCCTGAATGGCCACGTAACGCAGACGAAGCTGACCGCACTGCTGCAGCTCTCGAGCCAGGAAGTAGCGGAGAGCGATGTGATTCGTTCTGTGCTCCAGTCTGTGCTCCTCACACAAGGCAATGGCAGCCTTGTTGTCGACGTACAGCACTGGAGGAGAACTAGGCCGCTCTCTCAAGTCGGTCAGCAGGTAGGTCAGCCAGCGTAGCTCCTGTGCAGCCATGGCTGTGGCGTAGATCTCAGCCTCACAACTGGAGCTGAGAACAGAAGACGAGCAAGTAGAACGCCAAGAAACTGAACCAGAGCCAAGGCTGAAGGTGTAACCCTGTGACGACCGCTGAGTAGCCTGGTCGTCAACCCAAGAAGCGTCTGAGTGCCCAGTGAGAACAACTGAGCTCCCTCCTCCAAGCACGAGCCCCATGCCTGATGTACTGCACAAGTAGCGCAATACCCTCTTTGCAGCATCCCAGTGCACCTTTCGGTGCCTGCCAGGAGCCACGTAGCGGGCCAGAAGGCCAAGAGGGTATGCTAGGTCAGGACGAGTGCAAGTCATCAGGTACATGAGGCAACCAACTAGCTCTGGGTAAGGACCACTCGGCTCTACGGACTCATCCGAAGGCAGAGCTGAGAGCGAGTGACCTATAGCCAGAGGAGTGGCCTGTGCTGAGGACCAGGTGAAGCCGAAGCGCTGAAGGACCTGCTGCACCATGTGTGACTGAGTCAGTGTGATGGTGCGGCGTGCTCTGTCCCGGGTGATCTGCAAACCAAGGTAGCTGCGCAGTTCACCCAGGTCTGTGCACGTGTGTCTCTTCTACAGCTCCAACTTCACGTGGGCGAGAGCCTCAGTGTCAGCAGTGGCAAAGACCAAGTCGTCGACGTACACGAGGATGTAGAACGGCGGCAGCGAAGTGTCGGTGCGCAGGAACAGCGACGGGTCAGCAGTAGAGGGCGCGAACCCAAGTGCCGCAAGAGTAGTCCTCAGTGTGTCGTGCCACTCACGTGGCGCCTGGCGGAGACCGTAGACCAGCCGCCAGAGGCTCCACTGGGTACCAGGAGGAAACGACCCAGTGAAGCCAGGAGGGCGGCGCAGCCAGATCTCCTCGTGCAGGCTGCCCTGCAAAAAGGCTGTGCTGAAGTCAAGAGAGTGAAGCTCGTAGTCACGCTGAGCAGCAACGTGCAGTAGCACCCGAAGAGTGGTCATCTTCGGGGTGGGGAGGCTGAGACGGGAGGCAGATGAAGCAGAGGCGTCAAAGAGCATGTTTGTGGCGTGCATGTCCCATGAGCTGCGGACGCCCATGGTTGGGATTATTGGTAAGAGTTTGACGGTACACTGTTGCATTCCTCCTGTTTTTGAGTGTACCGCGCATGTCCCATGAGCTGCAGACGCCACCAGGCATGATTGACGCTCTGGCAGACGTGGGCCTACCTAACTCATCCCATCTCGCCGACCTGCTAATGGCCAGGGCATCAGTACCTCCAGTACGAGCACCTCCGGGACCAGCAACTCCAGCACCTCCAGTAGACAAAGGACCAGCGCCACCCCCAGCTCCAGTGACGTCAGCAGATTTACCTCCAGCAGCAGAGCCCCAAGCTCCAGAAGCCCGACCCTGACGGCGACCGTACCAGTCGTGCAGCTGCTGTGAGGTGAGAGGCACACGCGGACGAAGGCGGCTACTCCAAGGAGACCGCGCAGCAGCAGACTCAGAACCCTCAGGCGTCGCACCCCCAGACTCAGTACCCCCAGGCTCCTCACGCCCGGGCTCAGCACCTCCAGACACAACACCCCCAGGCTCCTCACGTGCAGGCTCAGCACCTCCAGGCTCCTCACGCTCAGGCTCAGCGCCCCCGGACTCCGCACCTGAAAGAAGTCTACTCCCTCTCGCTGACTGAAGCCTCGAGCAACGTAACGAGCCTTGAAGACAGGCGGAGAACCCGGCGGCCGCTTCACCCTGAAAATCCACATGCCACTGACGATGTTCGCCCCAGGAGGGGGAATCTCGTCGACGTAAGTACCAGTGGACTTCCAAGATGCCATCTCTGCGTCCATGGCTGACTGCCACTGAGAGGAGTACTCACCCGCGATCGCCTCAGCGTAAGAGCGCGGGGTCGGGATGTCTGGAGCATCCGGGTCTCCCTCAGGGGCAATCAGCATGGACACGAGATGAGGCGCAGCGGCTGCAAGACACTCAAGGTCCTCCTGCCTGTCCTCAAGGACGTCCGTGCCTAGAGCACACTCACCCCCGACGGACGGAGGACAGACAGACTCAGACTCAGCAACAAGACTAGTGGCGTAGTCTAGACGACAGCGAGCAGCAAAGTCGACAAGTTCAGCAACTAGGGCAGACGCAGCAGCAGACTCAAAGGAAGGGTCAGTGACAGCAGTGGCCAGGAGACGCGTGACAGTAGGACTGGCAGCACGAAGAGAGTCAGACTCCAGGTCAGCAAGGACAGGAAGAGAGGACTCAGGAGGAGACGGCAGAGGGACACGCTGCGGAGCAGTGGAAGGACGCAGAGTCATAAAGTGTGTGCCAGGCACAGGTGGAGGACGCTCACGCTGACCACGGCGACCAGTGCGAGCAGCACGAACAGGTGACACAGGACGCGACACAGGCGACACACGACGAGACTCAGGCTCACGACGCTCTGTAAGACCACCTGTCGGACCAGTGTAGGGAGAAGGACCAGGAAGTGGCGAGGTAGGCGGGAGCTGGGACTGCGACTGGACAGGCGGAGGACACTCTAAGGAGGGAGGAGGACTAGGAGGAGGCGGCTGACCAAGAACCTGCTGAAGGAGCGGAACGAAGTACGGCCGCGGCCGTGAAGTGCCCCCAGAAGCAGCACAGACAGCACCAGAACCTCCAGCCGAACCAGCACCAGCAGCACCTCCAACAGCTCCAGAGCCTCCACCAGCACCGGCAGCACCTCCAGCAGCTCCAGAACCTCCAGCAGCACCAGCAGTACCTCCAGGACCTCCAGTAGCACCAGCAGCACCTCCAGTAGCACCATTGTCAGTAGTACCTCCAGCAGCAGGGCCTCCAGCTGGCGGTACCTCAACGCGAGGAGCTCCACTCCTGAGGCTGCAGCGCCGAGCGTACCACTCACGTAGCCGCTGAGGGGAGGGAGGCTCTGGCTGCGGCACTGCACCTGCGAGGCCACCAGCCCCGACTCCAGCAGACCCCCCAGCTCCAGTAGCCCCACGACGGAGGCTGTAGCGCTGAGAGTACCACTCACGCAGCTGCTGTGAAGAGGGAGCGCCACCAGGCTCAGCACCCCCAGTCTCAGCACCCCCAATCACAGCACCCCCAGGCTCAGCACCCCCAGTCGCAGCACCTCCAGGCTCAGCACCCAAAGTCTCCGCACCCCCAGGCTCAGCACCCCCAGTCTCCGCACCCCCAGGCTCAGCACCCCCAGTCTCAGTGCCCCCAGACCCAGCACCACCAGGCTCAGCACACTCAGTACCTCGCGCAGGACCAGAGTCAACAGCTACCTCGACGGGCTCGACCGGGTCTACCTGGGAAACACCTGAGGGAGCAGCACCCTGGGGAGGGAGGGGGTCTACCGACGGGACACCTGGGGTGAGGAAGAGCGGCGAGGGGGGGAGCGGGGCAGTGCGGTAGGGGAAGAGACGGTAAAAGGGTACCGACTCGTCGAAGGTGACGTCCTGAGAGGCGAAGACACGGCGCGAGGTGGGGTGGTAAAACCGCCAGCCAGGCGCGTCAGGGACAAAGCCAAGGAAGACACAGGGAACCGCACGGGAGGAGAGTTTGTCCGCGGACGTATCGCGGACAAAGGCTCGACATCCCCAGACTCGGAACACCGACGCGTCGCCAACCTCCCCCGTCCAACGCAGGGTAGGCGAGGTCTCCGGAACAGAGACACGGGGCCAGAGGTTGAGCTGATGCGCGGCGTACTGCACTGCAAACGGCCACAGGAAATGGGGGGTAGCCGCATGGATCATGGAGGTACGAGCGACCTCCATGACAAGACCAATGCGGCGCTCAGCAACCCCATTCTGCTGCGGAGAGGCCGGGAGAGTGAACGTCTGGCGGATGCCGTGCTCCGCACAGTAGGCTGCCAGGAGGTCAGAGGAAAACTCGCCACCTCTGTCAGAGTGCAGACGTAGAACAGGAAAGTCCGACTGGAACCGCTGGCGGTGCTGGAGACGAGCAGCGCGGATCCAGGGGATCAAGACATCAGGGACCTCACCCTTGGTACGCAAGGGGAAGACCGTGGTGTAGCGCGTGTAGTCGTCGACGACCAGCAGAAAGTACCGCTCGTGGCCCTGTCCCCGGACGCGGGCGGGGCCCCACACGTCCAGGTGGAGAGTCTGCAGGGGAGCCTCTGTGGGAGGGAACGAGGAGGAGTGAGGAGCGGCGCGCTGCCGCCCCTCGACACAGGGAAGACAGGGAGGAGCAAGCGAGGGTGGTAGGGGAGGGAGAACTCTGGGAAGACCAGAGACAAGGTACCTGGAGTGCATGCCGCGAAGGCGCTGCACTGACGGGTGACCAAGGCGGTGGTGCCAGAGGACAGTCCTGTGCGACAGGGAGCGACACGAGCAGGGGGCCGACAGCTGACCTGACGCAGACGCAGACGCAGCTACCTGAGGGGACTCAGTGGTTAGTGTGTACAAGTCCGACTCCGGCTGCCGAGTGAAGGTAGCCAGGTGACGACCCGTCCGGGCACACGTGCAGTGCGTCACACGCTCGTAGGCCGGGGTGAACTGGTGAAAACCCGCGTCCTGGAGCGCGGAACCCGCCACCAAGTTCGTAGAGAACGAGGGGAGGTAGAGGCCCGACAACGTGCCAGACGGGACAGCAGGACAAGGGAGGGCAGTGGTGGAGGTCGCAAGGACCGGACCCCCTGAGGGGTCAGCCAGGGAGACAGCAACCGGTCTAGGGAGCTGCTCTAGGGTAGTGCGGTCGCGAAAGAAACAGTGGGAAGCACCTGAGTCCAGTGTGAAGGTGTGCAGTGCCTCAGTAGGTGCGGTACCAGCAGACGCAGACGCACTAGCACCTAGAGCAGCAGCCTCACCAGGACCTGGAGCAGCAGACGCACTAGCACCTAGAGCTGCAGCCTCACCGGTCCCAATACCTGGGTCAGGCGGTACACTCAGGTAACAGTCACCCTCAACACTAATAGTCAATGCATATATAGCAGCAAGGATAGCATCATAATCAAGAGCAAAGATATCAATTCCCTTCTTAAGCAGATCAGCCCAGCGGGGCAGCTCAGAGGCGTCTGGGAACTGCTCGCGCCAGGCGTCATCGAGGCGAAAGAAACAGCGCTGCGCCGTGTGAAACTTCCCACAAGTCTGGCCAGTGCGGTCACCTGTGTGGATGACGTACGGGCAGGTACCTCCACCCCCAGACCCCCCACGCTGAGAGTACCACTCACGGAGCTGCTGGGGCGAGGGAGTCTCGCCGGGACGCTGCTGCTGCTTCCTCTGGCCACCGCCGAACCCCCCACGTTGCACCGCTCCACCGCGCCCGCCACCCGCTCCACCGCCGCCACCACTGCCACCACCGCCCCCACCACCCCCACCACCTCCGCCGCCACTGCCCCCTGTGCCGCCAGTGACCCCCCCACCACCCGCGCCACTCCCACCTCCGCCACCACCCCCGCCCCCCCCACCCCCTCCACCGCCGCCGCCCCCGCCTCCACCTCCACCACCCCTGCCCCCCTTGCCCCTGCCGCCCTTGCGCCTCCCACTAGGAGCAGACGCGGCCCCGACCCCCTCAGCTCCGAGGAAGTCGACAGCAGCAGCAGATGCAATGGAGGGGAGGAGGGGGGAGGGGGAGCACCCCTCAAAGAAGGGGGTGCGGGGGTCACCACGAGAGGCACCTACAGCTACAATGCTCTTCTCAGCTGCTAGGAGTTCCTTCTCGAGGAGGTCGACAGTGAGGTCAGTGGGGGAGAGGGCGAGAAACTGGTCCCTGACTGTGCGAAGGGAGTCAGGGAGGCGGGTGACAAGGTGGTACAGTGTGAGGTACATCGGGGGGGGGTTCTTGGCGAGGAAATCTGGGGGGAGCGCGGCACGGTAGCGGAGGTCACTGGTACGGAGGTGGGTGATGAGGTCAGCTACAGTGGCAAAGGCGGACAGGTCGGGGAAGAGGTAGGGCAGTGAGAGACGGCCTATAGCAGCAGTGGCAGGGGAGGAGTAGCGCGCGACTACTGCGTCGTACAGCTCCTTAGCGGTCTTATGCTGGCCGAAGTGCTCGCGCTCATCTAACGGCAGGTGGCTGCGAACGGCTAGGCGGGCGTGAGCATCACGGGTCTGCCACTGGGAGCGAGCAGTACTGTCAGCAGTAGCGGGAGGTGCGGGAGCAGCGCCTGACGTGTGGTCATACAGGGAGACATCGTCCTTGGCAGTGATCTGGAGGAACAGGTGGAGGTCATCTAACCAAACTTCAAACTTAATCGGGCGGCCCTCAGCGTCAAAGGTGAGAATAGAGGGAGTGGCCATAGTGGCAGCAGTAGCAGTAGGAACAGTAGCAGTAGCAGCAGTAGCAGTTGAAGCAGTAGTACGACAGGAACCGGAACAGGAGTTGCTGCAGGTGGGGCACAGTAGGGCGGCGCGGCTCAGGTCGGGCGGCACGGCTCGGTTCGGGCGGCGCGGCTCGGTTCGGGCGGCGCGGCTCGGTTCGGGCGGCGCGGCTCGGTTCGGGCGGCGCGGCTCGGCTCGGGCTGGGCTACGCGGCGGGGCGCGACGAGGGGCGTGCGCGTGGGCGGCTGTAGCGGGCGGGCCGCGGCTGTGCGTGGGCCTGACTAGCGCGCGGGCGGCGGCCTAGAGGAGCGTCGCGGCGGCCTACGGGCGGGGCTGCGACGCTCTGGGCGCGCTGGTTGCGACCTGGGGGCGGGCGGCTGAGGGTCGCGCGTCGGCCTAGGGGCGAGCGGGGCCTACGGGCGACGGCCTGCTGGGGCTCGCGAGAAAAAATCGGGCCGCCCTAGGCGGCGGTTTTCTACGCGCGCTAAAACGGCGGGGCCGCGCTCGGGCTGCTAGCGGGCTGCACACGGGCAGCGTGAGAGCGCACGAGGGCGCACTAGGGGAGAGGCGCACGAGGGCGCTAAAAAAAAGGGCGCACGAGGGCACCTCTAGCAAAACGGTGGGCCCTTAGGTCTAGAACCTAAGCTCTTAATACCATGTCAGAAACAAGAAGTGATTGAACTATGAAACATTGGAGTACAAGTATGAAACCCTAGAGTTGTGTACCCCTTACAGGCTAACCCACTATAGCCTACACAGCAATAACACATATATAATGTTTGACAGTCGCTCCTGCCCGAGGCGCGCCCCGTGGGCCACCAATCTGTCGAGCCCTCCTAGAGGCCCCTTGCGCCACCCTTAGCGGCCCCGTCGCCACCCCTAGCGGCCCCGTCGCCGCCCTTCTAGGCCCCTCGAGGCCCCTTCGCGGCCCCGTCGCCGCCCCTAGCGGCCCCGTCGCCGCCCTTCCAGGCCCCTCACGGCCCCTACGAGGCCCCGTCGCCGCCCCTAGCGGCCCCATCGCCGCCCCTCGCGGCCCCGTCGCCGCCCCTCGCGGCCCCGTCGCCGCCCCTACCGGCCCCGTCGCCGCCCCTACACGGCCCCGTCGCCGCCCCTAGCGGCCCTGTCGCCGCCCCTAGCGGCCCCGTCGCCGCCCCTCGCGGCCCCGTTGCCGCCCCTACGCGGCCCCGTCGCCGCCCCTACCGGCCCCGTCACCGCCCCTACGCAGCCCCGTCGCCGCCCCTAGCGGCCCCGACGCCGCCCCTCGCGGCCCCATCGCCGCCCCTCGCGGCCCCGTCGCCGCCCTTAGCGGCCCCGTCGCCGCCCCTTGCGGCCCCGTCGCCGCCCCTTTCGGCCCCTCCCCGGCCCCTTCACCGCCCAGCTGCCGAGCCGCCCAGCAGCCGAGCCGCCGAGCCGCCCAGCCGCCGAGCCGCCCAGCAGCCGAGCCGCCGAGCCGCCCAGCAGCCGAGCCACCGAGCCGCCCAGCAGCCGAGCCGCCGAGCCGCCCAGCAGCCGAGCTGCCAAGCCGCCCAGCAGCCGAGCCGCCGAGCCGCCCAGCAGCCGAGCCGCCCAGCCGCCCAGCAGCCGAGCCGCCGAGCCGCCCAGCAGCCGAGCCGCCGAGGCCACTGTCGAGCCGCTGCTACCGCGGTTGCCGCCCTGTTCCTTCCGGCGCGCCCCGGCCCTACCCACCCGGACTGGTGAGAGCACTCCCTGCTAGACCACTGCTGTCATGGCTACCCCCAGTGTCCTTACCTTTGATGCTGAGGGTCGTGCTGTTGACTTCGAGGACTGGGTAGATGACCTACAACTCTTCCTACAGTGCGATAGGGCAGACGGACTTTCTCTGTTCGATCTCACCTCTGGTGCCTCTCCTGCCCCGCCTGCTGATGCTGACAGCACTGTTCGCTCACAGTGGGCCACCCGCGATGCTGCTGCCCGTCTTGCTGTGCGTCGCCACTTACCGACCACTGAGCGTGCGCACTTTAGTCAGTACAAGAGTGCTAAGTCCTTGTACGACGCTGTAGTTGCACGCTACTCTTCCCCTACCACTGCTGCTCTTAGCCGCCTCATGCTTCCGTACCTGTTTCCTGACCTCGCAGCCTTTCCCAATGTCGCTGACCTCATTACGCACCTTCGCACTAGTGACACCCGCTACCGAGCTGCGCTTCCTGCTGAGTTCTGCGCCAAGAACCCCCCCCCCCATGTACATCACCCTCTACTACATAGTCACCCGGCTTCCTGACTCCCTTCGCTCGGTCAGGGACCACTTCCTCTCTGTTTGCCCCACCACACTCACCGTTGACCTCCTCGAGGAGCGCCTCCTGGCAGCTGAGAAGAGTATAGTCGCTGTAGGAGCCTCTAGAGGTGACCCGCGTGCCCCTGTCTTTGAGGGGTGCTCCCCCTCCCCCCTTTTGCCCTCTGTTGCCTCTGCTGCTGCCGTCGACTTCGTTGGCACCGAGTCGGTCGGCGCTGCGTCTGCCCCTAGCGGGCGACGCCGCACCGGCAAGGGCAAGGGGGGCAAGGGCGCTGGCTGGCGGGGGCGGTGGAGGTGGAGGTGGAGGAGGCGGAGGGAGTGGGGGTGGTGGTGGGAGTGGTGGCGGGGGTGGGGGCTTCGGTAGCGGCGGTGGCGGCGGAGGCGGCGGCAGCGGTGGCGGTGGGAGCGGAGGAGGAGGCGGTGGCGGCGGTGGCGGAGGTGGCGGCGGAGGAGGTGGAGCTGGTCGGGGCGGCTCTGCGCAGCGGGGCGGCTTAGGTGGTGGTCAGCGCCAGCAGCAGCAGCGCACTCGTGAGACCCTGTCCCCCCAGCAGCTTCGTGAGTGGTACGCTGGGCGTCAGCGAGGTGGGGGTACTGGTCCCTGTACCTACATCCTCCGTACCGGCGACCGCACTGGTGAGCAGTGCGGGGGCTTGCACTCCACCCAGCGCTGCTTCGGCCGCCTGACGGACGCTTGGCGTCACCAGTTCCCTGACGCCACTGAGATCCCTCGCTGGGGAGAGCTGTCTAGGGCGGGGGTTGCTATCTTTGATCTTGACTATGATGCTATTCTTGCTGCCATGTATGCTGTGTCTGCTAGTGATGAGGGTGACTGTTACCTGTGTGTTCCGCCTGACCCGGGCATTGAGGCTGCTGCTCTAGGTGCTGGTGAGGCTGCTGCTCTAGGTGCTAGTGCGTCTGTTGCCCCAGGTGCTGGTGAGTCTGCTCTCTCAGGTACCACGTCGGCTCAGGCCTTACACACCTTCACCCTTGACTCGGGTGCTTCCCGCTCCTTCTTTCGAGACCGCACCACGCTTACGCCGCTTAGTCGGCCGTAGAGAACGAGGGGAGGTAAAGGCCCGACAGGGTGCCGGACGGGACAGCAGGACAAGGGAGGGCAGTGGTGGAGGTCGCAAGGACCGGACCCCCGGAGGGGTCAGCCAGGGAGACAGCAACCAGCCTAGGGAGCTGCTCTAGGGCAGTGCGGTCGCGAAAGAAACAGCGAGAAGCACCAGAGTCCAGTGTGAAGGTGTGCAGTGCCTCAGTAGACGCAGTACCTGAAAGCGCAGACTCACAAGTACAAGAGCAATGTTGGCTGTCTCATGTACCTGATGACCTGCACACGACCTGACCTTGCATACCCTCTTAGCATCTTGGCACGCTATGTTGCTCCTGGGAGACACCGACCAGAGCACATGGCTGCAGCGAAGAGGGTGTTGCGCTACTTGTGCAATACGTCGGGCATGGGGCTAGTGCTTGGAGGGCGACGTCGAGTGGTCCTCACAGGTCACGCAGACGCTTCTCACACAGGTCACCAGGTCCCCAGGTCCGTACAACAAGGGTGTCAATGTTTTCCTAAATTCAGCTTTTCTTCTACACTTTATTATAGGTAATGCGCTTGAAAATTTGACCCGATTATGTGGCACTTCGGGCTTCGGACTCTATTGAGCTTGTAAACGTTAAGACAATATAGTGAAAAACGCATTGACACCCTTGTTGTACGGTGTACAGCTCGGTTGAAATGTTGCGGTACCAGTCAGGGAATTCGCGCACAGTTGATGGGTACCACGCAGGGAAGATGGGTACCACGGAGGGAAGATGGGTACCACCAAGGGGCGCGCATGATCTGACGGGTACCATCGAGCCACGTAGGTGACTTTTGACGTCAGCGGGCTCAATGTTGGTTACCCAGAATGTAATTACCCCACATTTTTCTGATGTAAATTCACAGGAGTCTTACACTGTGCCAGAGCAGTCGCAATGAAGTTCCGAATAGAGGACCTCGACGTGTACTTCCCGTACGAGTACATCTACCCGGAGCAGTACGAGTACATGGTGGAGTTGAAACGTACGCTGGACGCCAAGGGCCACTGCGTGCTGGAGATGCCGACGGGCACGGGCAAGACCATCACGCTGCTGTCGCTCATCACGTCGTACCAGATGGCGCGCAAGGGCACGGGCAAGCTCGTGTACTGCACGCGCACCGTGCACGAGATGGAGAAGGCGCTCGCCGAGCTGCGCCTGCTGCACGCCTACCAGCAGACCGCGCTCGCGGGGGAAGCCGCCGCCGGCGCCGGCGCGGGGGGAAACGGCGCAGGGGGGAAAGGCGCGAGCGGAGTCCCGCGGATATTAGCCCTGGGGCTGAGCTCGCGCAAGAACCTGTGCATCCACCCGGTGGTGGCGGGCGAGGGGTCGCGCGAGAGCGTGGACGCGGGGTGCCGCAAGCGCACGGCGTCGTGGGTGCGCGCGGCCGCGCTGGAGAACCCCGACATCGAGGTCTGCACCTACTTTGACCAATTTGACCGCAAAGGACAAGAAGCCGCTCTGCCGCCCGGAGTGTACACGCTCCAGGACCTGCGGGCGTTTGGGCGGGAGAAGGGGTGGTGCCCGTATTTTCTGGCACGGCACATGATCAATTTCGCTAACGTGGTGGTGTACAACTACCAGTACCTGCTGGACCCCAAGGTGTCGGGGATAATCTCGCGGGAGCTGGAGCGGGAGAGCATTGTGGTGTTTGACAAAACCCACAACATCGACAACGTGTGCATCGAGGCTTTAAGCGTCAACGTGCGCCAGCAGACCATCGATGGTGCTCACAGGAACCTCGCCCGGCTCAACACAACCATTGAGCGGTGAGTGGGGAGGGCAGGGAAGGCGGAGGGGGGAAGAGGGCCCTCGAAAGCTTGTTCCACTCAGTACGATGATTGATCGGTGCCGGTAGGGCGCTGCAGGATAGCGGGAGCAGAGGGCGCCGTGGAACAAAGGGGAAGGGGGATGAGAGAGTAAGCAGGAAGAGAGGGGGAGCAGAGGGAGAGCAGGGGGAGGGGAAAGCAGGTAGAGAGAGAAGGGGGAGAGGGGGACTAGAGAGAAGTGGGAGAGGAGAGGGAGGGAGAGAAGAGGGAAAGGGAGAGCAGAGGGGAATGAGAGCAGAGGGAGAGGGGGGCAGAGGGCGAGGGGGATCAGAGGGATTGGGGGAACAAAGTCGAGTTGAGTCAATTCCCGATGTAGCTCAATTTCGATCCGACTTGGTGCATCAAGTCGGGCACGACTCTTGATGAGTTGTTTCACTCACCAATCCACTATGACTCAGCCTGGCACTCTGCATGAGTCTTTTGCGTGACCCCAGTGTGCGCGGTTGTTAGTATTTTTACTAGGCAATCGCAGGTGCAGTGCACATTGTTTGGTGTGCGCGTGACAGGTTCAAGGCAACGGGCGCGGAGAGGCTGAAGGAGGAGTACCGACGGCTGGTGGATGGACTGGCGCAGAGAGGCAACTTGCCAGGTGATTGCCTTACAAGGTTTACATGCCAGTTACTTGCAGCAGAGGTGACCTGCCATGATTCCAACACAAGGTTAAAAAGCCAGTTACTCACTACGAAGGAAACCTGTCAGGTGACTTCAACAGTCATACAGCACAGAATAACGAAACCCTAACCCAGATTCAAGGTGGATAAGTGGCAGCTTCCACCAGAAGCATTCGCTCAACACCGCAAGGTGGTGCTCTGCCTCTCATTCCAACAACACACAAGCACTGCGTGCGCCATCAACACCACCTCACGTCTCTTCTCCCCCTGCCCCTTTTATCATCTCCTCGGTCGCCAACACCCACTCACGCTCACACACCACTCCATTTCCTCCTCTTCTCCTCCCGTCTCGCCCCTCTCGTCTCCCCTTCAAACTCTCTTCTCTTCACTCTCCCCTCTCCCCTGAATATTCTTCCCAGACCCTTGCCCCTTGTCCCTTGCCCCTTGTCCCTTGTCCCTTGCCCCTTGTCCCTTGCCCCTTGTCCCTTGTCCCTTGTCCCTTGTCCCCCTCCCACACACTCCATCTCATCACCATCTTCCTCACATCCCCCAACTCTTGCTATGCCAACCATCCATCCCACTCTCCCCTCCTCTCACCCCCCCACCTTTCTTCCCATCCCCCCCATCCCGCCAATCAGCATGCAGACACGTGGCTGGACAACCCAGTGCTACCAGCAACCATCCTACAGGAGGCGGTGCCGTGCGGAGCACTTCCTGGCCTTCTTGCGCAGCTTCCTCACCTACCTGCACCTACCCCTTCTCACCTACCTGCACCTACCCCTTCTCACCTACCTGCACCTACCCCTTCTCACCTACCTGCACCTACCCCTTCTCACCTACCCATCTACCGCACAGTCCATCTCACCTCCTCCTCCCTCACTCTCCCCACCTCCTGCCAACCATCTCCCTCTCCCTTCCTCTCATCCACCCCCTCCCCCCCTTTCCCCTCTCCCTATTATACATGGGCAAACGAGTCGAGTTTTTACTAGACTCGTTTGAAGTACTCGAAAATAACGAGTTTCGAGTTCTGATTTTGGTAAAAAAAACTCGTGAAAACGAGTCGATTTTTACTCACGAGTTTAAAAAAACTCGTGAAAAACTCGGCTAGACAGGCGAGTTACCCATAACTCGCGAGTTTTTTTTCACTCACGAGTTTTGTTTAACCTAGAAGAGTTTTAAAAAACTCGTGCATCAAATGGTCCACCACGGGGGGGTACAAATGTCTGTTTCTGGGTTCATATGCTGCTGGAGGTGTGGCTCGCTGTTTTGGATGTGTTCCACCACTTAATTGTGAACACTAGTGCAGCTGGCGTGGCGGTGAGTAGCTTTTTTGGAAAGTGAAAGGGGGGAGGAGAGGTGGGGCTGGCTGGGTCATTTGTGGGTGTTGACGCGTGTGGCAGTTTTCTGGGCACCCTACAACTGTTTTCGTGTGGCTGGGGTTTTAGGTTAGGGTAGTGTTTAACTTCGAGTCGAGTTTTACTTGACTCGGACGAGTTTTTTTAAGGCTCATCCGAGTTTTCAAAAAACTCGACTTTGGGGCCGAGTTTCGAGTCAGCATTTTGACCAAAAAAACTCGACGAGTAAAACTCGACTCGACTCGTCAAAGGGAAAAAACTCGTCAAAACGAGTCAAGTAAAACTCGACTCGCCATTTGCCCACCCCTTCCCGCCAATCAGCATCGGACATGTGGCTGGCGAACCCACTGCTGCCAGCGGACATCCTACAGGAGGCGGTGCCGGGCAACATCCGCCGCGCGGAGCACTTCCTGGCCTTCCTGCGCCGCTTCCTCAGCTACCTGCAGGCGCGCCTCAACACCACGCGCGTCGAGTCCGAGGGGCCCCTCGCCTTCCTGCATGCCCTGCAGGCGAGTGAGTCAACGCCACTCCACACACGTGCCCTCATTCTGTGCGTCACCTGCACTTGTTCTCTTTACATCCCACGACAGGAATGCCATGGCTGAACGTTCCATTCACCTTCCTGCATGCCTGCCCTGCCCGCATGCATGCGTGCCACAGGCAGCGACGGGCATAGAGAGCAAGAGTCTGCAGCTGTGCTACGACCGGCTGCAGTCGCTGCTGCTGACGCTGCAGGTGGCGGAGGTGGACGAGATGGGCCACGTGCAGTGCGTGTGCGACCTCGCCACGCTTGTCGGCACGTACACGCGCGGCTTCGCCATCATCATCGAGCCCTTTGATGAACGCCAGCCGCAACTAGCTGACCCCGTGCTGCAGGTGGGTGCTGCAGGTGGGTGCTGCAGGTGGGTGCTGCACGTGGGTGCTGCTGCAGATGGGGCGGTGCCACTGTTTTCTCCCTATCATGCTCGATTCCTCACTCTTGTTCTTTCAATCCCTCCTCCTTCTTTTCCTTACTCTCTTCTTGCCTTTTCTCCAGCTCTTTTCTCCCCTTTCCTTCACTCACGCTTTCCACTACCCTTCGCCCCCACCCCTCTCCGCCCCCACCCCTCTCCGCGCCCACCCCTCTCCGCGCCCACCCCTCTCCGCGCCCACCCCTCTCCGTCCCCACCCCTCTCCGCGCCCACCCCTCTCCGCCCCCACCCCACTCATCCCCTTGCCCGGCAGCTGAGCTGTCTGGACGCCTCATTGGCCATCCGGCCCACCTTTGAGCGGTTTCAGAGTGTGATAATAACGAGCGGCACGCTGAGCCCCATCGACCTGTACCCGCGCCTGCTCAACTTCCACCCCGTCTGCATCCGCTCCCTCTCCATGTCGCTCTCGCGCGACTGCCTCTGCCCCCTCGTTGTTACTCGCGGCAGGTGAGGTGGGGCCGGGTTGTTGCTGTACGTGAGAGGAAAGGAGGGGTGATCATCCATGAGAGGAAAGGAGGGGTGATCATCCATGAGAGGAAAGGAGGGGTGATCATCCATGAGAGGAAAGGAGGGGTGATCATCCATGAGAGGAAAGGAGGGGTGATCATCCATGAGAGGAACGGAGGGGTGATCATCCATGAGAGGAACGGAGGGGTGATCATCCATGAGAGGAAAGGAGGGGTGATCATCCATGAGAGGAAAGGAGGGGTGATCATCCATGAGAGGAACGGAGGGGTGATCATCCATGAGAGGAAAGGAGGGGTGATCATCCATGAGAGGAAAGGAGGGGTGATCATCCATGAGAGGAACGGAGGGGTGATCATCCATGAGAGGAAAGGAGGGGTGATCATCCATGAGAGGAACGGAGGGGTGATCATCCATGAGAGGAAAGGAGGGGTGATCATCCATGAGAGGAACGGAGGGGTGATCATCCATGAGAGGAACGGAGGGGTGATCATCCATGAGAGGAAAGGAGGGGTGATCATCCATGAGAGGAACGGAGGGGTGATCATCCATGAGAGGAAAGGAGGGGTGATCATCCATGAGAGGAAAGGAGGGGTGATCATCCATGAGAGGAAAGGAGGGGTGATCATCCATGAGAGGAAAGGAGGGGTGATCATCCATGAGAGGAAAGGAGGGGTGATCATCCATGAGAGGAAAGGAGGGGTGATCATTCATGAGAGGAACGGAGGGGTGATCATCCATGAGAGGAAAGGAGGGGTGATCATCCATGAGAGGAAAGGAGGGGTGATCATCCATGAGAGGAAAGGAGGGGTGATCATCCATGAGAGGAACGGAGGGGTGATCATCCATGAGAGGAAAGGAGGGGTGATCATCCATGAGAGGAACGGAGGGGTGATCATCCATGAGAGGAAAGGAGGGGTGATCATCCATGAGAGGAAAGGAGGGGTGATCATCCATGAGAGGAAAGGAGGGGTGATCATCCATGAGAGGAAAGGAGGGGTGATCATCCATGAGAGGAACGGAGGGGTGATCATCCATGAGAGGAAAGGAGGGGTGATCATCCATGAGAGGAAAGGAGGGGTGATCATCCATGAGAGGAAAGGAGGGGTGATCATCCATGAGAGGAACGGAGGGGTGATCATCCATGAGAGGAAAGGAGGGGTGATCATCCATGAGAGGAAAGGAGGGGTGATCATCCATGAGAGGAACGGAGGGGTGATCATCCATGAGAGGAAAGGAGGGGTGATCATCCATGAGAGGAAAGGAGGGGTGATCATCCATGAGAGGAAAGGAGGGGTGATCATCCATGAGAGGAAAGGAGGGGTGATCATCCATGAGAGGAAAGGAGGGGTGATCATCCATGAGAGGAACGGAGGGGTGATCATCCATGAGAGGAAAGGAGGGGTGATCATCCATGAGAGGAAAGGAGGGGTGATCATCCATGAGAGGAACGGAGGGGTGATCATCCATGAGAGCGGAGAATGGTGCAAAAGGTTGTTCTTGGGCACAGTCTTGTCACCACACTAGTGAGACAGGAGAGATTCGTCGTGACCTCTAATCCTGGGTTATTAACCCTGAACTCTTTCAACGCTGTTTACTGTATGAACCCTGTGATGTGAACCCTCCTGACCCTGTTGACCCTGCCCCTCCAGCGACCAGCTGCCTCTGAGCACGCGCTTTGACATGCGCAGCGACCCCGGTGTCGTGCGCAATTATGGCCGCTTGCTCGTCGACATGGCTGCCTGCGTGCCGGACGGCATCGTTTGTTTCTTTGTGAGCTACGCGTACATGGACGGCATTGTGAACAGATGGAACGACATGGGCATCCTCAAGGTGGGCCCAGGGCTTAGGAGTTTTGGGGTTGATTTTCCTGTTCTTGGTACAAACCTCAAGATGGCTGCAATGGTAGTGGTGCCCCATCCATGGCCCACCATGCCAAGCGCCACCATGCCAAGCGCCACCATGCCAAGCGCCACCATGCCAAGTGCCACCATTCCATGCGCCACCATGCCATGCTCCACCATGCCAAGCGCCACCATGCCAAGCGCCACCATGCCAAGCGCCACCATTCCATGCGCCACCATGCCATGCGCCACCATGCCATGCGCCACCATGCCAAGCGCCACCATGCCAAGCGCCACCATGCCAAGCGCCACCATGCCAAGCGCCACCATGCCATGCGCCACCATGCCAATCGCCACCATGCCATGCGCCACCATGCCAAGCGCCACCATGCCAAGCGCCACCATTCCAAGCGCCACCATGCCAAGTGCCACCATGCCAAGCGCCACCATGCCAAGCGCCACCATGCCATGCGCCACCATGCCAAGCGCCGCCATGCCATGCGCCACCATGCCAAGCGCCACCATGCCAAGCGCCACCATGCCATGCACCACCATGCCAAGCGCCACCATGCCATGCGCCACCATGCCAAGCGCCACCATGCCAAGCGCCACCATGCCATGCGCCACCATGCCAAGCGCCACCATGCCATGCGCCGCCATGCCATGCGCCGCCATGCCATGCGCCGCCATGCCATTCCATGCACCGCCATGCCATGCGCCACCATGCTAAGCGCCACCATGCCTAGCGCCACCATGCCATGCGCCACCATGCCATGCGCCACCATGAATGCCAGGCGCCACCATGAATGCCATGCGCCACCATGAATGCCATTCGCCACCATGAATGCCATGCGCCACCATCAATGCCATGCGCCACCATGAATGCCATGCACCACCATGCATGCCATGCGCCACCATGAATGCCATGCGCCACCATGAATGCCATGCGCCACCATCAATGCCATGCGCCACCATGAATGCCATGCGCCACCATGAATGCCATGCGCCACCATGAATGCCATGCGCCACCATGCATGCCATGCGCCACCATGAATGCCATGCGCCACCATGCATGCCATGCGCCACCATGAATGCCATGCGCCACCATGAATGCCATGCGCCACCATGCATGCCATGCACCACCATGAATGCAATGCGCCACCATGAATGCCATGCGCCACCATGAATGCCATGCGCCACCATGAATGCCATGCGCCACCATGAATGCCATGCGCCACCATGCCAAGCGCCACCATTCCATGCGCCACCATGCCATGCTCCACCATGCCAAGCGCCACCATGCCAAGCGCCACCATGCCAAGCGCCACCATTCCATGCGCCACCATGCCATGCGCCACCATGCCATGCGCCACCATGCCAAGCGCCACCATGCCAAGCGCCACCATGCCAAGCGCCACCATGCCAAGCGCCACCATGCCATGCGCCACCATGCCAATCGCCACCATGCCATGCGCCACCATGCCAAGCGCCACCATGCCAAGCGCCACCATTCCAAGCGCCACCATGCCAAGTGCCACCATGCCAAGCGCCACCATGCCAAGCGCCACCATGCCATGCGCCACCATGCCAAGCGCCGCCATGCCATGCGCCACCATGCCAAGCGCCACCATGCCAAGCGCCACCATGCCATGCACCACCATGCCAAGCGCCACCATGCCATGCGCCACCATGCCAAGCGCCACCATGCCAAGCGCCACCATGCCATGCGCCACCATGCCAAGCGCCACCATGCCATGCGCCGCCATGCCATGCGCCGCCATGCCATGCGCCGCCATGCCATTCCATGCACCGCCATGCCATGCGCCACCATGCCAAGCGCCACCATGCCTAGCGCCACCATGCCATGCGCCACCATGCCATGCGCCACCATGAATGCCAGGCGCCACCATGAATGCCATGCGCCACCATGAATGCCATTCGCCACCATGAATGCCATGCGCCACCATCAATGCCATGCGCCACCATGAATGCCATGCACCACCATGCATGCCATGCGCCACCATGAATGCCATGCGCCACCATGAATGCCATGCGCCACCATCAATGCCATGCGCCACCATGAATGCCATGCGCCACCATGAATGCCATGCGCCACCATGAATGCCATGCGCCACCATGCATGCCATGCGCCACCATGAATGCCATGCGCCACCATGCATGCCATGCGCCACCATGAATGCCATGCGCCACCATGAATGCCATGCGCCACCATGCATGCCATGCACCACCATGAATGCAATGCGCCACCATGAATGCCATGCGCCACCATGAATGCCATGCGCCACCATGAATGCCATGCGCCACCATGCATGCCATGCGCCACCATGAATGCCATGCGCCACCATGAATGCCATGCGCCACCATGCATGCCATGCGCCACCATGAATGCTATGCGCCACCATGAATGCCATGCGCCACCATGAATGCCATGCGCCACCATGAATGCCATGCGCCACCATGAATGCCATGCGCCACCATGAATGCCATGCGCCACCATGAATGCCATGCGCCACCATGAATGCCATGCGCCACCATGAATGCCATGCGCCACCATGAATGCCATGCCCATGCGCCTTGAGGAGGTGTGGTGGAAACCACCGTTGAGATGCCATGCACTGGGCTGTGCTGCACCACGTCCAACCCATGCCGATCACACCCAACACCCCTCTCCATCATAAGGTGATTGATTACCAGTTGGTGTTGGTTGGGTCACGGGACATGGGCAAACCCCCCATCACAATGGCATGCATGTTACTTGTTCTCATGCGGCATGGCGCCATGCCCCCCCATGGCATGCGGCATGGCGCCATGCCCCCCCATGGCATGCGGCATGGCGCCATGCCCCCCCATGGCATGCGGCATGGCGCCATGCCCCTCCATGGCATGCGGCATGGCGCCATGCCCCCAGGCCCCATGGGATGGAGCACAAGCTGGTGATCACTGACACGCGGGACATGCTGGAAACCACGATGCCACTTGCCCCAACCCATATCCCATCCTGTGTCCCATGCATGCCCCAGGCCGTGCCTTGTGCCATGCCCATACTGTGCCCCAGGCCATGCCCTGTGCCCCCCGTGCTTCCCGTGCCGCCCCTCGCCCACTCTACCAGGAGGTGATGGAGCACAAGCTGGTGTTCATCGAGACTCAGGACGTGGTGGAGACCACCCATGCTGCATGCCATGCCCAATCTCACATCCCCATGGCCCGCGTGCCCCCTGTGCCCCCCACGGCCCGGCGGCAGGAGGTGATGGAGCACAAGCTGGTGTTCATAGAGACGCAGGACGTGGTGGAGACCACGCTCGCCCTCGACAACTACCGCCGCGCCTGTGACTGCGGCCGCGGGGGCGTCTTCTTCTCCATCGCCAGGTGGGCTCCAGCTCGTGACGGGTGAGGCGTGACAAGATTGAGGTGGGAGAAAGGCAAAGATCCTACGAGCAGGTGAGGCGGGCTCAAGAGAACTGCTTACAGAGCTCATATGCCAGTTCTTTCAGCATGGCAGAAAGAGTCATCCATAGATAGATAGCGGTGCGAGATGTCTCGTCAGCCTTACTTGATTAGGACCTCTGTGTACTTGCGGGCTTCACGCACGCACATGTGTCAGTATTCTGCCTGATGACATGTGCTGCCCTGTACGGTGTCTTAAGCTTCCCTTTAGGGTGACAGTTGCCACTGAAACGTGGCATATGCTAACTTATAAGGTGGCGTCGTTGATAAGACATTCTGTATGGTGCAGAACTCGTTGTTGATGGTATTTAGCATCTGTGGTATCACGATATCAGTTGCCACCTTCTTTATACAATACTAGGTATCAAGCAATTACCGCCCCAAACACAGAAGTACTACTGCGAGTGCTTCAGAACGCCTTTCTACCATGAGTGCTTCAGAACGTCTTTCTACCATGAATGTCTAATCTCTATCGCCTGCCTCCCACACCCTCCCCGCCGTGGTCTGCGTTCGCTCAAGCCAGGGGCAAGGTGGCGGAGGGGATTGACTTTGACCGCCATTATGGCCGACTCGTCATCATGTTTGGCGTGCCCTTCCAGTACACCCTCAGCAGGTGACGTGTCTAACTCTCCAACTTGTCAATGTGCCAGGTCAAATCGTGCACGTGACCAGGGATTCCTGTCTCTGTGCGCTGCCTCTTGCTCGAGTCTGTCAATTGCACATGTGACATGCCAGGTTGGGGAGGCCAAATCTGGAATGCTAATTGACTCATACAGTGACTTGCCATCACCAAAGGCTTCATGACGCGACAGCCTTCAACGCGTCCACCTCTCTGCCCGTCCTGGCTCCCCACCCTTCCATACTGATAGCAGCGCCCCTTCACCCTGCCATTGTGCCCTCTCCCCGTTGCGCGGGACAGAATACTGAGGGCACGCCTGGAGTATCTGCGGGAGACGTTTCAGATCCAGGAGAACGACTTCCTCACCTTCGACGCCATCGTGAGCCCCTCCCCACCCCGCCCCGCCTCGCCTTGCTCCCACCCCGCCTTGCACCACTCACCACCCCTGGTGCCATTCCATGCTCACGCTCCCTCATCCCTCCCCTTCCCTTCCACTTTCAACTGCTCTCTGCACTCTTTCCTCTCTCCTCCCCTCCCCCCCTGGAACTCCATTTCTCTAATCACCTATCGCTCCTCATTCTCTACCTCATCGCGTCCCTCATGCCTCCATGCCTCTCTGCCTGCTGCATGCCACCAGAAACGACTGGCGCTGTTTGTGGGCTGCAACGTGTGAGGCCAAGGAGGACAATCATCCAGCCAAAATCACATCTGTCGCCAATTCTCACACATCACTCCCACATCTCTCCCACATCTCTCCCACATCTCTCCCACATCTCTCACACATCTCTCCCACATCTCTCACACATCACTCCCACATCTCTCCCACATCTCTCCCACATCTCTCCCGCATCTCTCCCACATCTCTCACACATCTCTCCCACATCTCTCCCACATCTCTCCCACATCTCTCACACATCTCTCCCACATCTCTCACACATCACTCCCACATCTCTCCCACATCTCTCCCACATCTCTCCCACATCTCTCCCACATCTCTCACACATCTCTCCCACATCTCTCACACATCTCTCCCACATCTCTCCCACATCTCTCACACATCTCTCCCACATCTCTCCCACATCTCTCCCACATCTCTCCCACATCTCTCCCACATCTCTCCCACATCTGTTCCCCATCTGCCCCATCGCTCAGAGGCAAGCAGCGCAGTGTGTGGGGAGGGTCATTCGGTCCAAGTCCGACTATGGCATCATGATATTCGCCGACAAACGGTGAGAGCTACCTCTATGGCATCCTTATATATTCGCTATAAGTGGGGAGGTTTGGCAGTATTTCATCATGAAATTCGCCAAGCTGTGAGCGTTGGCAGTTTACATCAGTATCTTTTTCTCTTCCTTCAATGTCTCCCTCCGTTCACTATTTTGTCCAACCTTACTCATTCTGGCCCATCTGTCCTCCTCCCTCGTTCCTCCCCGCCTTTTCCACCCCTTCCTCCCTTCCCACCACTGCCCTCACCTTCCCTCTTCCCTCACCTCCCCTCACCTCCCCTCCCCTCCCCTCCCCTCCCCTCTCCTCACCTCCCCTCCCCTCCCGTCCTCTCTCCTCCTCCCCTCCCCTTCCCCCCCGTCCCCTCCCCTCCCCTGACCTCTAACCCTTCCCCCGCCAGGTACAACCGGCATGACAAGCGCAGCAAGCTGCCGGGGTGGATCGTGTCGCAGCTGCCCGACGCACACCTCAACCTCTCCACCGACATGGCCGTGCACATCGCCAGGGAGGTGAGGCGTGCACATCGCCAGGGAGGTGAGGCGTGCACATCGCCAGGGAGGTGAGGCGTGCACATCGCCAGGGAGGTGAGGCGTGCACATCGCCAGGGAGGTGAGGCGTGCACATCGCCAGGGAGGTGAGGCGTGCACATCGCCAGGGAGGTGAGGCGTGCACATCGCCAGGGAGGTGAGGCGTGCACATCGCCAGGGAGGTGAGGCGTGCACATCGCCAGGGAGGTGAGGCGTGCACATCGCCAGGGAGGTGAGGCGTGCACATCGCCAGGGAGGTGAGGCGTGCACATCGCCAGGGAGGTGAGGCGTGCACATCGCCAGGGAGGTGAGGCGTGCACATCGCCAGGGAGGTGAGGCGTGCACATCGCCAGGGAGGTGAGGCGTGCACATCGCCAGGGAGGTGAGGCGTGCACATCGCCAGGGAGGTGAGGCGTGCACATCGCCAGGGAGGTGAGGCACCTCAACCTCTCCACCGACATGGTGATGTTGGGTGAGGCGGCGCGGCGGAGGCGGATGATGGGCAGCACCTGCAGCAGCGGGTCCGCCGCTTCCCAGCGTCGCCAGCAGTGGCAACAACATCTGCGGGGCATGCCGTCGCCCCTGCCTGCCACCGCCCTTCCTCTGCTGCCGTCTGCCCTTGCCGCGGTTTCTGCTGTAAGGGTGGATGGAGGTGCTGTAAGGGTGGATGGAGGTGCTGTAAGGGTGGATGGAGGTGCTGTAAGGGTGGATGGAGGTGCTGAAAGGGTGGATGGAGGTGCTGTAAGGATGGATGGAGGTGCTGGCCCGTGCGTCTACTGCCGGTGCCCTTCGTTGCCCCAGCCGGGGCGGATGCTGTGGGGGGGAAGGAGGCGGGACTGGCAGCCATGGTTGAGGGGATGCTCACGCCTCCTTGGTGTGTTTGTGTGCTTGTATGCAGTGGATGTGCTTGTATGCAGTGGATGTGCTTCTATGCAGTGGATGTTGTTGCGTACTATCGCTCCCTTCAACACTCACTTGCAATGTCTTCACACACCCCCACCTCGGCCCTTTTCCCCCGCGCATGCAACGGTTGCTCTCTGGCAGTTCTTCTTTCAAATGGTGTTATGTCAACAGAACCGAATTGTCAGGGTCATATCTCTTTTTCTTTCAAGTGGAGCTCAATTAGCAGAGTTGACTAACAACCACCCACACCTTAACCCCCTCTTTCTCCCCTACCCACCCTTCCTCTTCCACCCCCCTCCTCCCCTCTCCCCCCCACTTCGATCCCCCTAGTTTCTGCGGCGCATGGCACAGCCGTTTGACCGGGCAGCATCGATGGGCGGTGCAACTGCCACTCTCCTCAGTGAAGCTGACGTGGCAGCCATGGCCATTGGCATGGGCACAGCAGGATAGATAACAATCCCTAGTGTTTCTGACATCTCAGCGGCGCTGAGCAGTGCAAGAGCTGGTTGTAATGGTATTGTTTGCTAGAAAGGCATAGTGCCAGCGTAGTGGAAACGTGTTTGTATAAAAAAACAATATAGAAATCTTGCATTGATCATTGAAAAGTAGAATGATGATGTTGGTCTGAGAAAACCCCTTAGGATCTTCAAGGATAAACTTTGAGCAGAAGTGTTGTATTTGCGGAAGCGTTTCAATGATGAACTATTGTACCACCTTGCGCTAGTTTGTGAGGGCAAGATAGATTGATTATAGAAAAAGTAATACAAGCTTTTATAAGATTAAAAGGAATATGAAAGGGTGCAAATAATAATTGTTTTACAGTTGCTGTTGCGATTCGATACAGTGACGACTCGGGCAACTGCTCAATCTCGAGTCAGTTGTTTGTCCTTGCTGTCGCGCTGTATTTGTCAAGTCAAAGGTCGCTGACCTTTGACCTTCATATAACCTCGAGCAGTTTGTCAACCTCCGATGGTTGACTCGCCGTTGCTTCGTTGCTATTTGCTTCGTTTACAGTTCGATGTTCCGACACATCAGAAGCGTTAAGTTACTTGTTTCCAACAGATGACACAATGATGACTCAATGATGAAGAAGTGACACAGCAGGGTATATATGCATCCAGCTACCCCTCCAGAATGACTCTATTCACACCAATAATGGTGTACCAATAGTTGTACCCTCTACCCTCCAATAATGCTGGCCTCCAACAATTCTGACCTTACAATAATTGTGATAATTATTGTAGGACCTGGAGGCTTATAAAGGGGACTACTCCAAAACCGAACAGCGCACTGGTATACAGTATTCGTTATACCGTATTCAGATTTCAAACACTCCCTCTTGCTGTAGGTTTTAGTGAATTCGTTCCTTGGAGGATGGGGTGGTCGAGGTGGTGTACCACCACAAGGTAGGGGTGCGCCCAAACCAAGCTAGGGTTTGGTGTTGGCCAAGCTGCTTGTCACTGTAGCACCTTTCCCTTCCCAACCTTTGGGCCTTCCAAACTTCAATCAAACCACCTTCCTTCACGTTTTCCAATTCCTCCTTCCAATCTCGACATTCTAGATCGAGATCTAGAGAGGAGTGGCTGCTGTTGAGGAAATCGTAGCAGCTCCATGGCGAAATCTCTTCAAAACCATGGCGGAGTCCGCGTATCGTCATGGCGGAATGCCCTTAGCACACGCCGAATTTCCGAAACCATAGACTTCACGACACGCGATTGTCAGTGCTGCTGTCTTTTTCGCACGCCTCCTGTGCGACGACGTGAAACCGCAATGGATGCGCGTCTGCGACGACTGCAGCTGCGGATGACGCGAAGCGGTAGCGGATAACGCATGGCGTACGGCTGGTGCGGAACTGCATTGGCGGGCGCACACTGCATGCGATAGAAGCGACGACTTGGCGTTCGTCAACGGCTGACGATCTGCTGCGCGCCTACTGCATCATTTTTCTGTCCGCGCCTGTTGCATCTTCGCGTGATTCTCTCCTCCCCTGCTTTTCTTCCTCTGCCTTTCTCTGTAAACCTTGCCTTTCTCCCCGTGCCTCGTGCTGGGATTGGCACAAGGTTGTCCATGTCTTAAATCCACACCAAAGGGTGATGCCAAGTCCGCTCTGACTTCACCCATGTTTCCTTATGATGCTCCCCATACACACCAGCCGACACACGGTAGCGGCCGGAGTTGCCGAACTCCATCAGCTAAAAATTTGCTCCAAGTATCCCGAAAACCTGCATTCCATGTATGCAGAAATGTCCACTCCAAGTATGCAGTTTTGTGCACTCCAAGCATTTAGCGCACTCCAAGTATGCAGAGTTGTGCACACCAGGTACGCAGTGCTCCCATATATATTCTCCACTCTTCCCTCAGGTGGTGTCGTTCATCTGTTGCAACCAATACCACGATACCGCTGCAGCACGACGTATGACGACCGGCTGCATTCATTCTTCCTGCTCCCCCTGCCTATTGGCAACCCTTGGTGAGTAGGACTTCCACTTATGCTTCGTGACTCCATGTCTCACTCCAGTGCCACCAGCTACACTCCAGACCTCCACCTCCCCCCACCCATGTGCTTGTAGTCATGCACATAACCGCGTATATAGCTACAAGCACGTGAGTGAGTGTGGATTTATGTGATGCCATGTTGTGCAACACACCTCGAGGAGGCCACACAGATGAGTACAACATCAGCACCTCTGACTTGATGATTGCCTTGACCAGCCAGCAGATTGCAGGTGAGATGCTGCTTGCTCGGCTTGTCCACCTCGTTTCCCACATCATTATTTTCCACGCCTTCCGGGATGGAGACACCTGTCTCAGGTAAGTCATTAGCTGTGCCTCTGCTTCCTTCGGCTGCACTGACTTAATCAGCTGCAGGTGAGTCCTATTCTACAAGGTTTGCTCCATCGCCTCCCGAATTCACAGCGGACCTTTTTCCTTCTCCCCCTGAAGTCCACTCCGCACTGTGGGGTGAGACTTCATCCGTGGTATCATCATGTACCGGGTTCCGCACGATGCAGGCTCTGTGTGCCATGCGGTATGCAGAATGGGTACGTAGGTGTACCCCAGGTGTGCGGGAAAGCACGCTCCCGTGTGTATCCAAGTGCACTCCAGGTGTGTGGAAAGGTGAACCGCTTTCACAACCATGTCTTTTCGACGACGCACCATCGCCGGAATGTCCAGGATCATTGGCAAATGTAAGTGCCGGCTCATACTGCACCATGAGCACTCCATCCACGTTCTTGCCAAGTCCAATCCGCACGTACTCCTCTCCGTCAGTCATGGTGACCTCCGTGTCTCCATTGGCAATAGTATTGAGGAGGAGGAGGAGGAGGGAGGAGGAGGAGGAGGAGGAGGAGAGGAGGAGGCGGAGGAGGAGGAGGAGGCGGAGGAGGAGGAGGAGGAGGAGGAGGAGGAGGAGGAGGAGGAGGAGGAGGCGGAGGAGGAGGAGGAGGCGGAGGAGGAGGAGGAGGAGGAGGAGGAGGAGGAGGAGGAGGAGGAGGAGGAGGAGGAGGAGGAGGAGGACGCGGAGGAGGAGGAGGCGGAGGCGGAGGCGGAGGAGGAGGAGGAGAAGGAGGAGGAGGAGGAGGAGGAGGAGGAGGAGGAGGAGGAGGAGGAGGAGGAGGAGGAGGAGA